CCAGGAGGGAATCAAGGCTCGCTACCCCAGAGTTCTCATGTACCAGGAGGGAATCAAGATCAGCTACCTCAGAGTTCTCATGTTCCAGGTGGGCATGGTTCGTTGCCAGAGAATAGCGTGGGACGACAGTCCGAGGAAGGGCATGGCCAAACAGCCCAGCAGTGGCTAGGAGAGGGCGGTGGGAAGGACCGGATGGCTCTTCTAGCGGATGGCATCACTCAGCTTCAGGCCGCGATGTTGAAGCAGTACGACAAAGGGCGAGAGGGGGAACATTCCCCTCAAAACATCAAGCCGGGCACCAGCACTCTTCCTGCCTTGAAGGATGTCACGGCTGAGACCTCCAGCGTCGACATAATGGACTGGCTTGAGCTCATCGACGCACCGATGAGTGACCTTTCGGAAGGTTCAGCGGGCTGGTGGCGCTCAGTTGTCAAGGAAGCTCACAGGGCGTATGGAGTGTGGACTTTGGCTTCTCCGGTGGAGCGACTAACTGTAGCTCCGGAGATAGGGGAGCTGGAAGCTGGTCAGTGGGCCCGAGTAAACAGCAGAGCGGCGTCAATGGTTGTCATGGCCTTGTCCGACCAAGTGAAGCAGGAAGTTGTTGCACGCCGGCATGCAAACTCGACTACCCGACTCCTTTATCGGCTTCTTCAGTTGTATCAGCCTGGAGGGGAGTCGGAAAAGGTGAAGATATTGAACAACTTGCAAAGCCCACCGGCTGAATCGGACCCTCAACGAGCCGTACAAGCTTTGAGGACGTGGAACAGATGGTTAAGGAGATGTCGAGAACTCGGCCTGCAGGCACCAGACCCCAGCTTGCTGACGAGGGGGTTGAATGACCTTGTGCGGCAAGTTCTTGAAAAGTACCCGGAGGTGTCATTCAGAACATCTCTCTTGAGATCAACCCTCAAGGTGGACACGAACCCAAGCTATGAGAGCGTGGAGGGCTACTACCGTCACCTTATGGGAGAGTGTGAGGCCTTGGCTGTGGGGGCTACAACTACTTTATCTACTACAACAGCTGCGAGCAAGCCCGAGCCGCGCTTGAAGCCTGTTCGAGGTGACCCGAAGCAAGGGGGATCTGCTCTAAATGCATCCAAGGCGCCGCCGACTACGCCGACATCAACAACCTCCACCACGGACCCCAAGTTCGAGAAGGCGAGATCGGAGGTGCCGTGCAAGTTTTTTGGGAGAACAGTCAAGGGATGCATTCGGTGCTCCAAGTGTCCGTTCTCTCACTCGTGGGAAGGCTTGGATAAGAAGGACAGATGTCTTCTATGTGGAGGCAAAGGACATATGCAAAAGGAGTGCCCGAACAAGAAGTTTACTCCACCTCCTTCCTCAGGAGGGACTCCCAAGCACGGATCGGAGCGGTCAACGACCCAGGCGACTTCCTCCTCTACTACAACCACGAAAACGGTGAGGATTGATGACCGACCTGAAGGGGAAGAACCACCCGGAAGACCGGCGACGGAGCCCTCGCTGAATGGGAATGAGCTGAGGGATGTTCTTGCGGATGTTGGAAGAGTGCTGAAGTCTATGACCGCTACCTCGATGAAGAAGATGACTGTCGAGGACGGGGACTACGCGGGGATGGCAAAGGCCGGGGATGATATGAATCTGACTTCGGAACCACCAAGCCTAAAGGCTTTCGAGTCGCAGCGTAAAGTTGAACCCCGGGGTGAACCGGATGGGCTCTTGGATTCAGGAGCAAGTCACCCTATGCGGCAAGCTCAACCGAATGAGTACCTCGAGGCAATCCCTGTGAAAGTTACGTTGGCAGGTGAGGACGAAAAGATCCTCAAGCAGAACCAACAGGGAACCATACTGGTTCAGGAGGAGCATCAAGTTCAACCGATAGTTCCTCTAGGTGCCCTCATTGAAGACCTCGGCTACACGTTGCATTGGACCCCAACCAAACTACGACTTACACATCCTGAAAAGGGGAGTGTGCGGGTGAGAGTGAACAACCACTGTCCTGAGGTCGCGGCCTGTGA